GCGCCCGGGACCGGAGAACCGGAGACCGGCCGGAGACTGGACCGGAGACCGACCGGAGAAATTCTCCGGCACCCGGGCCGGAGAACCGGAGAGGACCGGAGACCCGGACCGGAGACCGGCCGGAGACTGGACCGGAGACCGGCCGGAGAAAATCTACGACGATTACATTCTTTACTAAAACTGGCCGCCGGCGGCCTCCGGACGCCCAGCCGGAACCCTCCAAATCCAGTCTCTGGGCGCCTCTTGGCGGTCGTGCCTGGTCGCTTTTCTCCGGGCGCGTTTTTTCAAAACCTTAAGGTTAGGCAGTAGCGCCCGGGCGCGCCTGTCGCCCTCCCCGGGCGGCAGGTGACCCAGCGAGCCTCCTAAGACTTTAGGGCTGGCGCTTGCTCCCCGCCAGGCGGGCCGCCAGACACATAGGTTCACAGGTCGATACCGGTGCCATACTTCTCCTGCTCCACCCACCCGCCCGAAGGATGCCTGGCATGCAATCCTGGGAGTTGGACTTGGTCTGGCTCAGCCAGGGACTGGGATGGGGCCTGCGTGGGGGACAAAGACGGACCGAGACCGACGGACGCAGACAGAAGGACAGACAGAGACAGACAGACGAACAGACAGACAGACAGACAGACAGAAACAGACAGACAGACAGACAGCCAAGCAGACAGACCGGACGCTCGGCCTCAGGTATGTGCCCTGGCGCTCGCTGCGGGCCGCTGGGCGTGGAGATGACGCAGGCGAGCAGGGCGCCGCTGCAGCACGACCTCGCTGTGAGATCGAGGCCGGGTATGTTTTTGTAGCTTGTACAGCGATTGCTTCGCGCTGATCGGTGCTGATTCGAAGCAAATACAGAAATGGGCGCCGCGGGCGCGACGCGGTCGGCGCATGTCAGCTTCGGCACTCTAATGAGATTCCTGTTTGCAGACGTCCTTGCAGTTGGCCCGCCGCCTTGCAGTTGTGTGCCTGTCTAGTGGACAACCGGAGTCTTTCGGATTGCGAGCTTGCAAGCCGAGCTTTTTCTTGACCTGGGTTGGCCCACAGCTGGGTGATAGATCGTGGTTCACGCTGCCTCTTCACGTCCTCTTCCACCTTTGTTGCTGCCATGTCGTCCTGGGGCAAAAGCGCTTGGAGTGCCCGCAAGGGCAAAGGTGGCGCCGGGAAGACCAAAGGCAAGGGAGTTGGCGAAAAGAAGGACTACATGAAAAAGGTTCCGTGGGAGAATCGGCTATGCAAGTGGTACCTCCGCCCTTACGTCGATCAAGCTGGCAGCCCGTTCACAGCCGGCAACCTGCAAGAGTCGGAGCTGCTCTCGTCGTTGCATCTGCGCAACGTTCTGGGGGAGACCTGTTCCGAGTACTGTGCCCGACAGGGCATTGCGCTCTCGGAGGGCGCTGCGAACTTCGAGGTCGGCGCCGGCGTGCTGAAGCACCATTTTAGTGGGGACGCTGGCGCCGGATTGAGCAAAGTGGGCATCCAGCCTTTGGTCGACTTGTTCGAGACCGCGGACGGCAAAAAGTTTCTGGAGGCGTGTGCTTACCTCAACACCGCCAACACGGAGCTGGACCGCAACCAGGAGGCAACGGCAACCGCCGTCAAGCGCTTCATGCGCTCTCTTACTCAGGCCCCCTCGGAGAAGGAAGCGGCATTCCGCAAATTGTTGCGCTTCAGTGCGCGGCTGTATGTGTTTGCGTTTGAGGGCCTGGAAGCACTCACGGCATTGTCCAGCCCGAAGACGATGGCCGCTGGTGTGCATGCAGTGGGCCAGCAAGTGGTGTTGCCGGAGGACTGCGCAGCTTGGCTTCGAGCCCCCGAGGACCAGGAGGCCTTGATGTGGTCGTTAGTGGCAGCCTTCCACCAACAAAAACTCGGCGCCGGTGGGAAAAAGCGCGCTGCCGCAGCCTACGATTGGGACGACGAAGAGCCCACGTCAGCACCGGTCTGGGGCAAGCAGTGTGCCGACCTGTACGGCGACGAGGCGGAAGAGGAGGCCGGGAACTCGCGAGCGAAGAAAGCTTCGAAAGGAAAAGGCGGCAAGAAGGGGAAGCCGACAAAGAAGGCTGCTGGGCCGTTGGCCTCGGACGCCGAGGACGGCCTCGTCGACATTGACCTCGCTTCCTCCGAGGAAGAGGCTCCTCTCCCGGCCAGCTTGGACGTGAGCAAATGGCCGCTGGACAAAGTCGAGGCATTGAAGGAGCTCCTCACCGAGCTCGAAAACAAATTGGGCGGCAAGGACCGCCCGAGCATTCAGCAGGTGCAAGCGGCCTTGCAAGAAATCCCGGACACCATCTTGGCGCACCAGCGCCTGCAGAAGACGGTCGGCGATTTCCTGCAGAAGACTCGGTACCCCAGAACCGAAAACCTGAAGACTTTCTTGAAAGCGCTGAAGGACATGGCGGCCGCTGTGGAGGCCGAGTGGAAAAAGTCGTGAGCCGTGCACCGTTGCCGAGCCACAGCCCTTGGGCTGCGTTGTGCCGCGAAGCCACACAGGCGCGGCGCCATACCTACATCGGCTTGGGTGTCGTGGTCGGCCCGGCGTCAGCGAGTGGCGCCCTACCCCGAAGAGGACTTTGACCTCTGATGGCATAGGCGGGATGTATAGCATTTAGATCCATTGCAGGTAGGACTTAGCCACCTTTATTCACCACCGGCAATGTCGATGCACTGAAGCCGCCTTTGGGCACAGCGAGAGAAAGGGCGCGCGCGCAGCGAGCGTTCTGGCACCCGTCGTCGCATTGGTCGCCGCGCCGGGGCGACAGCGCCCTATAGTGTCCACGCGCGAGAGATTTTCGCTTGCCGCTGCTTGTGGCGGTCGTCGCATCTTGCGTGTCCGCTGGCTCTAGCGTCGCCGCCGTTTGCTTGCAAGTCTCCGCGCCGGCCGCGTCCCGCGTCCCGCCATGGAGCCGCCGAAGCGCCGCCGTATTTGGATGAAGCGGCCGCCACTGCCCCACGAGGAGGACCTGCCTGTCATGCCAGAGGCGCCGCCGCCGGCTGCCGCCGCCCCGGCGCCCCGCGGGCGTCAGAGGCAAACCTTCTGCCCAGGCAAGCTCCCCGGCCAGCCGTGTTGCTTTGCGGCGGATGGCAGCGGGCAAGCCGCTCGAGGCAAGCGAGAAGGCCACTGCAGCTTTTGCCACAAGGGCAACTTGGACGCCGCCCTGGATGGGGCCAATGGCCGGAAGATTGTGGTTCGCCTCCTGAAGCAATGGCGCCAGACCGCGCCGGAAATCTTCCGGGCCGCCTTCGAAAGGGGCGCGTTGACGGAGCTCGATGCAGACGCGCGCGCCAGCTTGCGCGCTGCTTGTGGGGATCCGACGTGGGAAGAGCTGCTGGCCAAGCGGCGCTCTGTTGCCGCCGACCCCACGCCGGAACAGCTTCGTGAGTTTGAGGCAGGGGTGGAGCAGGATCGGGCCTACGTGCAAAAGAAATTCTTTCCCACCCGGGCCCGGACGGTGCGTCACGCAAACTACCAGTGGCGAGCCCCGATGTCCGAGGCGCTCCGGGGCCAGGTGCACGACCTGGCGTCCAACGACGCCGGCTTGCCGACGGCCGCCGTCAGCCCGACGGCCAAAGCTCTGGAAGCTTGGTGCAAACGTGGTTCCTGGGACTTGCGCCGCCAATGTGCTTCAGTTCAACCTCGGCATCTGAAGGAGGCAGCCACGCGGACGGTGGCCCTGGGCAGCAGCGTCTTGTGCAAGAACTGCACCAAAAAGCCCGAGAAGCAAACTTGGGTGCCCTCGCCAGAAGATGTTCCCGCAGCGCTGCGCGGGTTGAGCCGGGCTCAGGTCGAGGCCTTGCGGCCGCTGGATGTCGACAGCGGGCCAGAGTGGCGGGCTGAATTTGGCTATTTCTTCCACAGCAGCATGATCCGCTTCTCCTGGGCAGCCGACGACGTGGAGGACAAGATCAAGACCCTGCCCACCCGTCGGGAACGCAAGGGAGCGAAGAAGGCGCGAGCGTGCGCGAGTGTCTGCGTGTTGTCTTTTGCTTGGCGTGTTTCTCTCGTCGCGCGAGCGCCCGCGCTCACACCCGTCAGCCTCGCCTGTCAGGCATTTAAATTCTTGGTGGACAGTGACGATTGCAACTATTGCGAGTGGATCGAGCGGCATCGGCGCTTCCTGAATGCGAATCCCCAAGCCACCTCCGAGCGTCGAAAGCGGCCTCTGCGCTACATCGAGGAAGAGGGCATCGAGACGGCCGTTTGGCCGCATCTTTATTGGACCACCTGGCTCTGTGAGACCGCGGCTCGGCTGGCGGATGTCCGGCGCCAGCGGCGGCAAGGCCTCCAAGACAGCACCCTGGATGACCCCATGGGCGAGGAGGAGGCTGCCCCCGGCGAGACCGAAGGCCGGCAGAGTTTGAAGCGGCGCTTTCTCCTCAAGGCGCTCGGCCCCATCGCCGACTATGCCGGGGATTTCAACCTCTTGCGCTTCGTCTTCGACCTCTCCACCTGGTCCGACATCGGGGGCAAGAAGGGCGCACTCCGAGGGATGCCCATGTGGCAAGCAATGAAAGGTGCCGCTTGGACCCCCTAGTATTGGCACGTGCGCCATGCCGCGGCCTTGGATATGCAGGCCCAGTGCGGCTATCCGGTCGCTTTTATCACCTGGGCGCCTTTCGAATGGTCTGCTCCTTACCACGAAGCCCTCTTGCAGCAGATGCGGCAGTTGGGATGCCAGCGCCTGGGCTTGGCAGGGCCCGAAGCTCTACATTTGGCGCATCTCCTCACCGAACTTTTCCGGGAGTGGGTCTGTGGCGGCGGGCGCAAATTCGGAGATGCCGCGTCTCACTGGAAGTCGGCGCTGTTCAGTGGCATCGCGCCAGACGGCAAGCGAGTCAAGGTGAACTTCATTGGCCGCTTGGAGTTCCAGGACGGCAAACGGAAAGAGGCCACCCAAGCCTATCACGGCCGCGGCGCCGTGCATCTCCACGGGCTCGTGTTTGCCGAGAGCATCAAGCACATGCAGCTCCACAGCAAATTTCAAGCGACCCTTCCTGCAGCAGGTGATCCGCTCAGAGGTTTGGTGCTGGATGGGCAAACCAGCCGGACGGGGAGCGGCTGGCCCGTCTTCGAAGGCCCGTCGCACTACGACGCGGCAGTGGACAAGGTCAAGCTGCATCATTCTCAGGAAGACAAACGCTTGGGTGTGCGAGGCTACAGCCCGGAGGTCCTGGACGTCTTGAAGTGTCACCAAGACGTTCAAATCGAGCGCGGGACCGGGCTGATGCTCAAGTACGCTGCAACTTACTTGCCGAAATTTAGTGACGGCCCAGGCAAGGAGTTGATGGATGATGCCAGTAGCGGCTACAGCGCCGCAAGGCGCACCCTCTTCACTTTCCATCCCGGCGAGCCGGAGATGTGGCTGTTGTTGGCCAACCAGACCTTTCCCATGTTTTTCATGGGCGGGACAATGCAGCCAATCATCGCCCCGCATCCGGGCATGCAACAACCTCCGGCCTACGTGGAGCTGTATGAGAAAGCCATCTGGCGTGGAGAGATGTCGCTCCTCGAGTACTTGCGCCGCGTCAACACCAAGGGCAACATCTTAGAGCACATCCGGAAGGCCCACAAGAAAGACGCCCGGGGCCTCAGTTTGGAAACCTTTGCCCTCCAGTACGCCAGCTTTGGCGAGAAGGTCATTGCAGCAGAGATGGTTTCCATGCTCAATGACAAGTGCTTTGCCGGCAACCGCAGACGCGCGACGCGCGCGTTCTCCGTTCGCGTGCCGCTCGAACGTTTCGATACCGTCCCTCTCGCGCGCGCCTTGGCACCGGCAGGTACTACGGCCAGTGGCTGGCTTTGAACGTGCCCTTCCAGCGGCTCAGCGACTTGCTCGTGCCCGCGGTAGTGGCGAAGGTGCCGGACCACGTCAAGTTCCTCGCTTGTGCTTTGCACTGGGCGCCGCAGGTGTGGCGGAGTGAGCAGGCCGTCCGAGAGCACATGGCGTTGCGGGCCCACAAGGAAACCTTCATCAACACGGTGGTGCACATGATCAAGGCTCAAGATTTCTTCATCCAGCTGCACTTGTCCGGTGAATTGGAGCGTGAGGTGGAGCCTCGGCCGCTTGCCCGCCTGCTGCCCTCCTACTTCGATGACGCGGACAGTGGCTTGCGCCTGACTGCCGAGCAGAAGCGGGTGGCAGAAAACATCGACCAACGGGTGGACCAAGCTTTAGCCATTCGAGACGCGGCCGATGAGCAGGAGATGGAGCGGTTGCTGGGGCTTGCGGACGAGCACGGATCCATGGTGGCAGTGTCTGGCCAGCCCGGCGCCGGCAAGACGGCCGTGGTCGATCTCTGCGTGAGGCGCGCTCAGCGTCTAGGCGCTCGCATCTTGCTGGCCATGCCCACGGGCGTGCAACGCTCTCGGATGAAACAACGGCATCCGGAAGTTGAGCTAGACACTTGCCACGGGGCCTTCTTGTTCCACAAGCCCTTGGTGGAAGCCATGGGCATCATGTTGTGTTACGAGCTGATCGTTGTCGATGAGGCGGTCCAACTCTTCGACGAGCACTTTGAGCGCTTGCACGAGATGTGGGCTGCCGCGGGCAAGGTGCCGTGCTTGGTCTTCGTCGGCGACGAATGGCAGTTGCCGCCTCCTGACAAAACGAAGCGCAGCCTCGTGCACCATCCCAAGTGGCGCTTCGTTTACAAGGTCGAACTGCACAAGGTTTGGCGCCAAGCCGACGGAGACCCGCTCTTGGCGAAGCTCGCCTACCTCCGCAAGAACCGGCCGATGGGGGCGGAGGGCGCTGCCTTTGTCCGCGATCTCTGCCGGGGTCACAAGGCTTGGTCGGGCCACCATGACCCCACCAACCTCGATATCCAGGATCTGCTCGCCAAGACCGACGGGGCCACGACCGTCATTACCTGCACGCGGTGGGGCGCCGCTTTGATCAACGCCTTGGCCGTCGAAGTGCTCTTTGAACTTCCAGGCTGCCGCAAATTGGGAACCATTCCTGCCGACTACGAAAGCAACCCGGACAACTACCACTGGAATGGCCATGCCTATGTGCTCCAGCCAGATCGCGGGCCCGATCCCCTGCGACTCGATCTCTATGAGGGCCTCCGCATCCGCCTCACCCGCAACCTGAACAAGAGGATGGACTATGTCAATGGGATGGCGGCCGCGGTCCAATCCTTCAGTCGCTCGACGGGCGGTGTCGTTGTGCGGACAGAGACCCACCAGGTGCTTTGCATCTACCCCGTGACGGACGACGCCCCTGGTGGACGAGTGGTCTACTACCCCATGAAGCCCGGGTACGCGGACACCGTCCACAAGTTCCAGGGCGCGGAGCTGGTTCACGTGACCTTCTGGCCAGACCGGGAAGGGTGCGCCGCCGCCGCCTATGTGGCGCTTTCCCGGGTTCGAAAAGACACGGATTACTTGCTGGGCGGCAACATTAAGCCCGAGCACTTCGTGCCGGCGATGTG